CTGTTTGTCTGTTGTTGGTTCCTGTTTGTTGTTGGTTCCTGTTTGTCTGTTGTTGGTTCCTGTTTGTCTGTTGTTGGTTCCTGTTTGTCTGTTGTTGGTTCCTGTTTGTTGTTGGTTCCTGTTTGTCTGTTGTTGGTTCCTGTTTGTTGTTGGTTCCTGTTTGTCTGTTGTTGGTTCCTGTTTGTCTGTTGTTGGTTCCTGTTTGTCTGTTGTTGGTTCCCCTTTGTCTGTTGTTGGTTCCTGTTTGTCTGTTGTTGGTTCCTGTTTGTCTGTTGGTGGTTCCTGTTTGTCTGTTGGTGGTTTCCCTTTGTCTGTTTTTGGTTCCTGTTTGTTGTTGGTTCCTGTTTGTCTGTTGTTGGTTCCTGTTTGTCTGTTGTTGGTTCCTGTTTGTCTGTTGTTGGTTCCTGTTTTACTGTTGTTGGTTCCTGTTTGTCTGTTGTTGGTTCCTGTTTGTCTGTTGTTGGTTCCTGTTTGTCTGTTGTTGGTTCCCCTTTGTCTGTTGTTGGTTCCTGTTTGTCTGTTGTTGGTTCCTGTTTGTCTGTTGTTGGTTCCTGTTTTACTGTTGTTGGTTCGTGTTTGTTGTTGGTTCTTGTCTGTTGTTGGTTTTTGTTTGTCTGTTGTTGGTTCCTGTTTGTCTGTTGTTGGTTCCTGTTTGTCTGTTGTTGCTTCCTGTTTGTCTGTTTTTGGTTCCTGTTTTACTGTTGTTGGTTCCTGTTTGCTGTTGGTTCCTGTTTGTTGTTGGTTCTTGTTTGTTGTTGGTTCCTGTTTGTCTGTTTTTGGTTCCTGTTTTACTGTTGTTGGTTCCTGTCTACCTTTTGTTGGTTCCGGAGATCAACGTCTCCACGGCCCAGTCTCTGAGAAGGCCTCCTGGTTGGAGGTCTGGTCAGCCAGGCTGTTGGACGCAGCTAACTCGGGCAGTATAAGACCTTATGTACGTTCCCCAGGTCAACACTCTCTCCATCTTTGAATGGGGCTGTTAGTGTGCAACAGTATTCCTCCCAAGATAGCACTAGTTTTAGCATCATTACATCTTAGCCCTCGGGCCTCGTAGCCTGGTGGATAGCGCGCAGGACTCGTAATTCTGTGGCGCGGGTTCGATTCCCGCACGAGGCAGAAACAAATGGGCAAAGTTTCTTTCACCCTGAATGCCCCTGTTACCTAGCAGTAAATAGGTACCTGGGAGTTAGTCAGCTGTCACGGGCTGCTTCCTGGGGGTGGAGGCCTGGTCGAGGACCGGGCCGCGGGGGCACTAAAGCCCCGAAATCATCTCAAGATAACCTCAAGATAGCATCACTAGTCTTAGGACTTGTTATCCTACCAAGTCATTTTTCTTGAAGTTGTGACAGCTACTTTATTGTGCTCTTTAAACTGATGAGGATTTGCATCTAGGGATTCATAAACAGAGTAAATAACCACATTAAGAATATCTATTTTGATTGTCAGCACTTCAACCATATCGTTCGTGGTGATCAGCAGTGGAGAGCGTATGAGTGTGTCTTTGATGTACAGGCTGATGTACCTGTACATCACTGTACCTGCTGGATGTACCCTTGTAGCCTGTGTTTCCTGTCACATCTGCCTCATTTAGGAGGCCTGGGGCTAGATTCACGAAAGCACTTACGCAAGCACTTACGAATGTGTACATCTTTCCTCAATCTTTGACGGCTTTGGTTACATTTATTAAACAGTTTACATGCATGAAAACTTCCCATTCAACTGTTGTTATGGTTATAAACAGCCTCCTGGTGCTTCGGAGCTCATTAACTGTTTAATAATTGTAAACAGAGCCGCCAAACATTGAGAAAAGATGTACAGGTTCGTAAGTGCTTTCGTGAATCTGGCCCCAGGTATCAAGTGGACTTTGTTTTGTCTTGTTTTGATACCTTGTGTGTTGTCAAATGCGATAGTTGTTATCGTATTTGTGGAAGGGTTGAGTATTATACTTGGTGTTAATATCTGTGGTTCGGGTAAGGGTGCCGATGGAGCTGTGTCCTGTCTAGGGTTTGACCTTTGGACGGTGGTAGTCTTGATATCACGTCCTTCCACTGTGATGTCTTCCATCTACAGTGATGTTCTTCTACTGTGATGTCTTCCATCTACAGTGATGTTCTTCTACTGTGATGTCTTCCATCTACAGTGATGTTCTTCTACTGTGATGTCTTCCATCTACAGTGATGTTCTTCTACTGTGATGTCTTCTATCTACAGTGATGTTCTTCTACTGTGATGTCTTCCATCTACAGTGATGTTCTTCTACTGTGATGTCTTCCATCTACAGTGTTGTCCTTCCACTGTGATATCTTCCATCTACAGTGATGTTCTTCTACTGTGATGTCTTCCATCTACAGTGATGTTCTTATACTGTGATGTCTTCCATCTACAGTGATGTTCTTATACTGTGATGTCTTCCATCTACAGTGATGTTCTTATACTGTGATATCTTCCATCTACAGTGATGTTCTTCTACTGTGATGTCTTCCATCTACAGTAATGTTCTTATACTGTGATGTCTTCCATCTACAGTGATGTTCTTATACTGTGATGTCTTCCATCTACAGTGATGTTCTTCCACTGTGATGTCTTCCATCTACACTACAGTGATGTCCTTCCACGGTGATGTCTCCCATCTACAGTGTTGTCTTTGGCTGTATACAGTATAATTCTACTTGGCAGCTGTACTGTGCTGTATACTGTACGGAATATTGAATACTGTATACTGTATTGGGTACTGAATACTGCACTGGATACTGGATGTTGTATACTGTATACTGCACTGGATACTGGATGTTGTATACTGTATACTGCACTGGATACTGGATGTTGTATACTGTATACTGCACTGGATACTGGATGTTGTATACTGTATACTGCACTGGATACTGGATGTTGTATACTGTATACTGCACTGGATACTGGATGTTGTATACTGTATACTGGCTACATGGTTGTCTATAAATGTCGTATTTTGGTGTGAAGACCTGAACTGTTGGCAACCCTCGGCCTCTCAACAAATACGTCCAATTTTGGACGTTGTGACCCCCCCCTCCCAAAGTCCAAATCACAAAGTCCCACGAGCAATTAACTTCTCTCGCAAATATCTACGTTTTCTATGTTTCGTTAGGCCAGGTTAGGTTAGGTTGCTTTAGTACACCATTTTCTGTCCGTTGTGGCTGCTCGAGAGGACGGTCTAGGCCGTTGCCACTGTATTGTCTAGCCACTTGCTGGAACCTCTCTAAGTGGACCAGTTTATTAGAGCTTCATCAACGGACTTAATACGTCACGTTTTTTACGGAACGGGGAGGGGAAGGGGAAGGGGGGATGAAGGGGAAAGGGGGAAGAGGGGAAAGGGGAAGAGGGTAGGAGGGGGTAGGAGAGGAAGCCATGCCGACAAGTTTGACTCATGCATTAATGATGTGTTTTGCTGGTTGGCGCCGCAAAGGCATGGGAGAGTGGTCACGTTGGAGGGGTTGGAGGCCACTTTGTGGAGGGTGGGAGGGCACTTTGGAGGGTGGGAGGTTAGGTTGGAGGGTGAGAGGTACATCTGGAGGGTGGTAGGTCACTTTGGAGGGTTGGAGGGCACTTTGGAGGGTGGGATGTCACTTTGGAGGGGAAGGGGAGAGAATGATTGTTCCTTATAGAGCGAAGAAGTTAAGGGGGAGGGGAGGAGGGGTGGTTCATGATGAGGGGGTGAGAGTGACGGAGCGCTGGGTGGGAGGGGCGGGGGTGGGGGTGGTGAGGGGGGATTGAAGGGGGGTTGAGTACACTTAGCAACAACTAGCCACTCCTGCGACAAGATCTCTGCAAGCCATCCTGAGGTTGCGTCAACTGGGTGCAACATAGAGTCACATATTTGTCCCCTGGCAACACCCATCTGGATCGGCAGCAGCAGCAGCAGCAGCAGCAGCAGCAGCGGCAACAAGAGACGCCGCTCAAGCAGCAGCAATAGCAACAACTCAAGCAGCAGCAGCAGCAGAAGCAGCGGCATCAACAGACGCCGCTCAAGCAGCAGCAGCAACTCAAGCAGCAGCAGCAGCAACTCAAGCAGCGGCAGCAGCAGACCCGCAACAGCACCAGCAGCAACTCAAGCAGCAGCAGCAGCAACTCAAGCAGCAGCAGCAGCACCGGCAACAGCACCAGCAGCAACAACTCAAGCAGCAGCAGCAGGAGCAGCAGCAGCAGCAACAGCAGCGTTCAAAATAACGTTGTACTGAAACGTACGAACCCAAGCCACTCACCTAACCAATGTACGCGTATTAAACGTGGATATTTCTGAGCCGCTATTTTTCATAGTACCTTTTATTTTGGCCGTTGAGGACCATAGCGTAAAGCATTAGGTACATTAAATGAGAGGAAGGGTTATCTAACCAACGGCAATGAACCATATCGGCGAGAACCATAAGAGAATATATCTTTCATTCCCCTGGGCTCCAGGAGGCTCGAACAACGAACCCTAATTGTGTGAGGCAGAGGAATATATCTCTTATCAGTCACCCCCTGGGTGATGGGGGGGCCCCCTCCCACTTGTCAGTCACCCCTGGGTGATGGCCCTCCCCCCCCCCCCCTCCCAGTGAGTGGCATCTTCCTTATGATTGGTCATCTCCTAAGTATACTAAGCTAGTATACTTCTTGGTTCTAATATTGCTCTCATCGTTATCAATCATTGCAACATTAACATATGTAACACTATGCGAGCTAACTAGAGCACTTGCAACAACAGCGTATTCATCATCTCATCACTGTCTCTTGGAATACGTCTCAGAGGGGGGGGGGAGGTTGTTCCAACGATCCAGAGTGCACTTGAGTGAAGCTTGACGTCCCCCACTTTGTCGAAAGGATAGGAGATAGACTAACATAATTATATAATATAAAGACGAGGTCTCCATTTGCGTTGGGGGCCTCTGTGTCCTCCACTGTGGCTCTTTGTGTTTGGAAGTCCTTCACAAACTGTGCATTTGACAGAAAGGTTTCATGAATTTAGTTTTTGCTCGACGCGTTAGTGACTTATTCGTCACCATGGTCGTCACGATGGTCGTCACCATGGTCGTCACCATGGTCGTCACCATGGTCGTCACCATGGTCGTCACCATGGTCGTCACCATGGTCGTCACCATGGTCGTCACCATGGTCGTCACCATGGTCGTCACCAAGGTCGTCACCATGGTCGTCACCATGGTCGTCACCATGGTCGTCACTATGGTCGTCACCATGGTCGTCACCATGGTCGTCACCATGGTCGTCACCATGGTCGTCACCATGGTCGTCACCATGGTCGTCACTATGGTCGTCACCATGGTCGTCACCATGGTCGTCACCATGGTCGTCACTATGGTCGTCACTATGGTCGTCACCATGGTCGTCACCATGGTCGTCACCATGGTCGTCACCATGGTCGTCACCATGGTCGTCACTATGGTCGTCACCATGGTCGTCACCATGGTCGTCACCATGGTCGTCACCAAGGTCGTCATTATATCTAAATTGCGTACAGCAGGATAACGTGACAGGTGTAAAAAGTTTCGAACACCAGGATAACAAGTGCAAAGTGTTTCGAGCACCAGGATAACAAGTGCAAAGTGTTTCGAGCACCAGGATAACAAGTGCAAAGTGTTTCGAGCACCAGGATAACAAGTGCAAAGTGTTTCGAGCACCAGGATAACAAGATAGCAGATGTGAAGCTTTTAAACACAAGTTCGTGACGAATGAAAATCACGGACCTCCGAGAAGATAGTTTTTACCCCAGTAAGGTCTTCAACCATAATATATACCTCTACATTGTTGTCATAACCGTGTGGTTTCTCCCTTGGATGTTTCCCAGGACGGAGGACGGTGCTTGGTCCAGCTAATGTGTGATAAAACGCATGTCTGAAGCGCTGATTTACTGTGTAAACAGCACCTTCTGGCGGGTAGTAGAGGCAGTTTGTATAGATGGTTGTGGAGTGAAGGGGCAGGCAGTGTGTATAGTTGGAGGGTGACGTAGTTTCAAGGGTGACGTGGTGTATATAGAGTGCTGGTATGTATATTGGCTTCAGTTAAAGAGTTAACTTTTATGGGTCGGGCATGCATGTTTTCAAAAGTTGCTCTGTGAATGCTGTGTGGGACCCAAAGTGGGTATTTAGTTAACAAGAGTGGGTATTTTGGTGCTTTAAAGTGAGAATATTGTATCCCAAAGATGTATTTAGTAACCCAAATTGGGTACTTAATTGGGTTTGCTTAAGGACATTCCTTTGGGTTTTCCCTAGGGCATTCCTCGTTTAGCAACATCTACATAAATTATTGGACAATTATTTCTCAGTTATGGCGCTCACCACACTGGCGTCGGCACCCAATTATCGAAATTTGAAATTATTAAGTTCTTAGTATATGTCACGCGCGCTCATACTGTCGCGCGCGTGCGAGCAGATGACGCGTACACACACACACACACACACACACACACACACACACACACACACACACACACACACACACACACACACACACACACACACACACACACACACAAACGAAGTTAGAAGAGGTTCAGAGGTATGCCACCAGACTAGTCCCCGAGCTGAGAGGAATGAGCTACGAGGAAAGATAGATTATTGGAACTAAACCTCACGACACTGGAAGACACAAGAGTTAGGGAAGACATGTTCACTACCTATAAAATTCTCAGAGGAATTGATAGAGGGTAGAAAAAGATAACTGTTGACAGGGTTGAAAAAGATAACTGCAAGTACAACTTGGTGAGTACAAACAGAGGACAAAACTAGTGGACAGCTGTTGAGCTCGTTAGGGAAAGTGAATTTAATCAACCGCTTCCCAAACACTGTGTTTCCAAGCGAGCAGCAGAGTCCTCCACCACCCTGTCGGCTCAGAGAGAGATCAGCGTAAGCCTAGAGTGAGCCAGAGTGAGCCTAGCCTAAGTCTAGAGCGAGCCTAGAGTGAGCCAGAGTGACCCTAGGGTCCAGAGTGAGCCTAGCCTAAGTCTAGAGTGAGCTAGAGTGAGCCAGAGTGACCCTAGGGTCCAGAGTGAGCCTAGCCTAAGTCTAGAGTGAGCCAGAGTGAGCCAGAGTGACCCTAGGGTCCAGAGTGAGCCTAAAATGACACTTTGTGCAATCTGTAAAACGCACCGTTCTCATGACTTGCCACAACGTGCAAAATGCAACTTTTTTTGCCAAACCAGAGACGTACAAACCCATGCAACCCACCTAACCTAGAAGGGAAGGGGGAGGCGCTAGGAAAGAAGAGAGGGGAGATGGGAAGGGAGAGAGTGGAGAAGGGAAGGGAGAGAGGGGATATAAGAAGGGAGAGAGGGGAGATGGGAAGGGAGAGAGTGGTGGGATGGGTAAACAACTTTCCTCAGGCAGAAGGACATTGACCTATGAATAACAATGTGTGTCGAGCCTTCCCCTCAGAGTGAGGAGAAGGGGAGGGAGGGAGGGTAGAGTGCTTCCCCTCACTCTACTCACCTGGTTGTACGTCAGGGAGGGTTGAGTTTCGACTCTTGAGTCCCTCCTCTCACTTGGCTTTTCCTCATTGTACTCTCACATATACCCCTCCCTCTTCCTCCCACAAACACACTCCCTCCCACATAAACTCTACCTCCCACATACACACTCCCTCCCATATACACACTCCCTCCCACATACACACTCCCTCCCACATACACACTCCCTCCCATATACACTCTACCTCCCACATACACTCTCCCTCCCACATACACACTCCCTCCCACATACACACTCCCTCCCATATACAGTCTACCTCCCACATACACTCTCCCTCCCACATACACTCCCACACACTTTGCTCCCTCGTTCCTCATTAAAATTGTGTTTGTTGCATCTCCTTGATGCTAACCCCAACCCAGACCGTAAACCGCAGTTATCCTCTCTCTCTCTCTCCCATTTCCCCTCTTTACGGAGACTTAGCCTCACTCTCTCCAGCCCAGTGCTGTCTCCCCTCTCTTTATTCCCCTTCATTAACTCTTGCCACTCTTCCTCCATTCTCGTTACAACATTTCCCCCCCTTCATTCACGCGTTCTCATTTTTTTTATTCACACAATCTCCCCTTCATTCACAATTTCTCGAGTGTGATAGTGGGAAACAAATGGGATGGGCTTGCTGTAGGACACACACACACACACACACACACACACACACACACACACACACACACACACACACACACACACACACACACACACACACACACACACACACACACAACTTGATTGACAGTTGAGAGGCGGGCCGAAAGAGCAAAGCTCAACCCCCGCAAACACAACTAGGTGAATACACACACACACACACACACACACACACACAGATTCTCTCTCTCTCTCTCTCTCTCTCTCTCTCTCTCTCTCTCTCTCTCTCTCTCTCTCTCTCTCTCTCTCTCTCTCTCTCTCGTCATCGTACAAGGAACAATTTTGTGTTGAGATTCCGTCTGTGTGTGGGGCTGCGTGTGTGTTTTTCCTCAGGAATTTGGTTTGGTTGGGTGGTGACGCATATTTGGGAAGGGGCGTGTATTTGTTTGTGTGTATTTTTGATAGTGCATTAAAGTGCCTTCAGAACTTTAATACTTTTTCGTTTGTGGAGAAGTTGGGTAAAAGAAAACAAGTGCAAGTAATGACTGAAAATAGTTAATGCATTCTTTGATGAGTCTTTATTTTTGTAAGCAACCGATGAGTCACAATAACGTGGCTGAAGTATGTTGACCAGACCACACACTAGAAATTGAAGGGACGACGACGTTTCGGTCCGTCCTGGACCATTCTCAAGTCGATTTTATTTTTGTATCTCTATTCTCTTTCCTTCTCCTCCTACTCTATCCCCTATCTCCATATTTTTCCCCAATATTACCCACTCTCTCGTAGGGGGGTTCACTATCGGGCCCTCTCCACTCTTAATAGGGCTAGTAGGACCGACGACGACCATCCTATGACAGTCCCTAGCCCCAGACCATTCTCCCTCCGAAATTGGGTGACACTGGCGCAAAGTGTTTGGCCTTCAGTCTTACTTTCAAAGATACCTTTCTTTTTTTTTTTTTACATAGATTAGTGTTCTATTATTTGTGTTTGGTATTACGTAATGGTCTTGTTACAAGTTTTGCAGATCAGTGTGTGTGTGTGTGTGTGTGTGTGTGTATGTACTCACCTAATTGTGCTTGTGGGGGTTGAGCTCTGGCTCTTTGGTCCCGCCTCTCAACCGTCAATCAACAGGTGTACAGGTTCCTGAGCCTATTGGGTTCTTCTATGTGTGTGTGTGTGTGTGTGTGTGTGTGTGTGTGTGTGTGTGTGTGTGTGTGTGTGTGTATGTGTGTGTGCACCTGCCAGCCAACCTGCCTGTCTGCGCACGCGCACGTGAGTCCTGTGGAGTGCGTTGGTTGCTCTGCTACCTGTATCTTGCGCACGCGCGTGCGTTTGCGTACACGAGCCTAATGAAGACCACTGCAGCTAATGGGAGGACAAATATGAGGGGCCGTTGGTACACACAGCAGCTGGGCGCTCTCAGCCACTCGGCATTTGTTTCCAATAAAAGGTTTCACGGGAACTTTGGCATCTGTGGGCAGTTGGGATTGGCCGCTCCTAGAAAGGTCATTGGAGCCAGAGGTGCTAGGGGGATGTACAGGTGCTAGACAGAGGTACAGGTAATTGAGAACACGTAGGCTCTTGAGAGCTCTAGTATGACACACACCAGTTGATTGACAGATGAGAGACGGGACTGAAGAGCCAGAGCTCAACCCCCCGCAAGAACAACTAAGAGAGTACACACACACACTCAGCAAGAAAGGATGGAAAATGTTAGAGAGTGGAGAGGCTACGAGTGGAGTGCCTCAAGGGTCACCTCTAGGTCCCGTCCTGTTTCTAAAATATCCCAACGACCTGACACAGGAAAATGGCTCCATGTCAGTGTTTACAAACGATTCAAAACTGATGAGAAGAGTCAGGACAGAGATTGTGATATTTTGCAAACGGATTTAGGCACTCATAATCCAGACTCACTCTCTCTCTCTCTCTCTCTCTCTCTCTCTCTCTCTCTCTCTCTCTCTCTCTCTCTCTCTCTCTCTCTCTCTCTCTCTCTCTCTCTCTCAACACTATATATATCTCCGGTACCGAAAAATCATCTACGCCGAGACTATAAATACTATGAACGTAGCGCTGGATAAATATTATTTTTTTTGGCATTTTACTAAAGCGTTTATAATCTTTTGAAATTGTAAACGGCATTGTCGCCTTTTTTTGTTCCCCTTTTTTATTTTGTCTATTTTGCCTAGCAGCTGGCATATATTAACAGTGGTCATATATTAACAGTGGTCATATATTAACAGTGGTCATATATTAACAGTGGTCATATATTAACAGTGGTCATATATTAACAGTGGTCATATATTAACAGTGGCTATATATTAACAGTGGTTATATATCAACAGTGGCTATATATTAACAGTGGTTATATATTAACAGTGGTTATATATTAACAGTG